AGATTTTTTTTTTTTTAACTACTTCGCTTTTTTTCTCGTACGCAATGCAACCGTGGAGGAATATGCACGATGCCTTGCAAAACCATGGGATCTACATTTTGAGCCCTCCGTGGAGAAAAAGACGGGCAGGCAGCGTTTCGAGACACAAAAAAAAAATAAAAAAAAAAAAAAAAAAAAAAAAAAGCTAAGTATTGCAAGGCTGGTTGAAAGTTGACGCGTGGGAAAATGGACTGTACACAGATCATATCTCTCTACCTGAGCTGATCAAGATCCAAGTATTTTACAACATTGAAGGGACGAAGGAAGAGAAGAAATATATGGGCGGGAAACACTTCAGTAGACGACAAGGTAATAAAATAGGAAGAGGCCATGATGATATCATTGGGCGGAAGAGCAAGAGACAAAGAACCCCAGATGATGTAAAACCCTTTTTCTTCCCCACACAGGCCATATTAACTGAGAATCGAGAACGTGGATACAACCTCATTTAACCCAGTATCTGAAATCGAAGGATGCCATTTCGTATTTACTACCATCGAATCAGACAAAAGTATTACTTCCTCATTCAATCTCTAACTTGGATAAAGGTGTTTTGCGCATTAGGAAGTCAAAGGTTGGAATAAAAATGGTCGGAAAATAAATAAGATGAAGAGATAAAAAGATAACAAAGGGGGGGAATAGAAACTTTAAAAAAAAACAAAACAAAATAGTAACAAGAAGTTGGGAAAAGAATAGCTCAAGGGATATCGATAGTGAGAGATGGAGCCTCCAAAGTAAAATAGAACAGACAAATTGCTACAAAGAAGCTTCACCGAGAAAAACAGAAAACTCCAGTGGCCAATAGCGTCTGAGGATAGAGGGAAGGGGGGGGGAAGGAGTTATATTTCTCCTTGTGGCCGTGCGTATATCTTTCCTATATCATAGTCTTCATTCGATTGGCGTTAGAATAAAGTAGCGTAGGGATTTGCGAAGGATCACCCGTCTTAATCCGTTTGTTTGTTTAACTCTGGTCGTCAGTCCCAGAAGCTCTGTGATGAGAGCAGGCTTGGATAAAACCCGACTCATGATAAGTTGAGTCCCGCCTAGAGAGGGTCGAACGCCAGAGTCACCGTGGCTAGGGTGTACCAAATATCAAAATAGCGGTTGTAGACCTTGAGGGGGCGGGGGTGTACGTATGGATTGCTTGTTCAGTTTGTGTTTTCAGGGAGGCGGCAAATATGGTGTTCCTTTCCGGGTGATCGCATTTAACCCTCCAGGCCTAGAAAATCCCAAGCTCTTGGGTCTTGATATGGATTGAAAATTCGCGAAATCATGGGTTTATTATCCATTGGGATTTCCGATTGGTAAATTATTGGAGGCCGAGCCTCGTACTCTGAAACGACCCTTGGAGGTGCTGGAGAAAATCTTGGCACAGATTCCACTGGTGTTGGAGGAACTTCGTAACCTTGAATTTGAGGATTAAATACAAGCCCAGAGCCAGTATAATTAACTTCAGCTCCGATGACAGGTTGCTCTCCAGGGACGGGTATTGAATGAACAGGAGGTGGTTGTGTAGGAGGGGGGTAGAAAACATGCGCAACAGCAGGTACTTGAGGGGGCGGATATGTTTGTTGGTTATTAGGGAGGCTGCTTGCTGGGGGTAACAAGCTAGGGGGCGGCTGTGAATATAATGGTTCTCGAGTAGTGCAAGCGGCCGGCGGTTGGACCTCAGGTTGATGAGACCGATTCTGATGTTTGGTTAATGTCGTTTTTCGGCAGAAACTAAACGATGATATCAGTATCTCGTCCTTCAAAGGCCAACGAAGGAGCGAGAAAATTACCTTCGCCCACATTCTGACTCCAAACACTTATATGGTCGCCTGCCAGTATGTATTCGCCGATGACGAGCTAGGCTCGAGGACTAGAACCGATGTTAACTCCATGTTCGGCCAAAACAGAAACGAGGTAATTTAATGCCACACAATGATTAGAAGTTGCGTGAAATCGCGGCGTCTAGGCCCTGGTGCAAATGGTAGGTAGCTCGCAACGCCCTGGATATTAACATACATCAGAAAAGGCTTTACTGCAGCTCTCATAGTCGCATACATGGGGCTTCTCGCCAGTATGGGTGCGGGAATGGACAGTCAAGGCCGAGCGCTGGATGAAGCTTTTTGTACAATCTGGAAAACTGCAGCGATAGGGTCGTTCATTCGTATGTATTCGAAAGTGTCTGCACAGATCCGACTTTCGGTTGAAAGCCTGGAACAAAACATAACAGAGACATCGATGTCAATCAGCCAAATGCGGGCATTGAAAGTAGGTATTGATTTTCGTACCTTCCTACAGTTATTCCATGTACACGGGAAGTTGCGCGTACGGGGCATGCTTGTTGGGAGTACAAGCCAAGCTGGTTAAAGGTCGAGCGGTTCAAAGTGAACAGCAAAACGAATGCGGATGCAGTTTAAAGGCGAAACGAGGGCATCAGTACAGAAAAATATTGTGGCAAGAGGGAGAGAAGAGGGAGCGAGCGACAAGATAAAGGGAACCAATGTCGTAGAAAAAAAGTAAAAATAAAAAGATGATTTAAAGAATAAAAAGCACAGCAGAAATAAAAATAGAAATAAAAGTCAAAATCAGTGAACTGAAGGGAAAAAGGGCTACAGATATTGAAGATGGACGTTGGTTCTGGAGAGTAGAATGCACCAACGAGGGTGAGTGGGAGGACAGAAACCTTGGATGACATGCGGGACTAGAATTCTCGATCTCCGCCAGTCAAGAACTGGCTAACTAGGAACGTAAAAAAGCATTGCAGATAGTTGACCCCAAGGAAAAAGAAAAGCAACATGAACTGAGGGTACGAGGAAGCGGAGTTGAGGGAAACCATCAGGACAAACGGCGGGGGCTATTGGCTGTCGAAGGCAGTATCAGACGGGTACCACGCGGACACTGCTAGGCCGATAGTAGCGGTAAAGTAAGCTCGCTGTCAGTGGTCGATGGCACTGACTGGATGCTGGGCAGTCCTGGGAAGTGGAGTTCAATGATTTACAGGGTTCATGGAGTCATATTAGCAGTAAGCCCAATCAAGCGGTAAGGACAGGGACTTTGGGGTGCGGAGGATGGGGATGGGG